GTGTGGGTGTGGTGTAGGTGTAGTATGGGTGCAGTGTTGGTGTGTTGGTGTAGTATGGGTGCAGTGTGGGTGTGGTGTAGGTGTAGTATGGGTGCAGTGTTGGTGTGTTGGTGTAGTATGGGTGCAGTGTGGGTGTGGTGTAGGTGTAGTATGGGTGCAGTGTTGGTGTAGAGGTATGGATAAGGATGTAAGGAGGGGTCAGTGAGAGTGACGGAGCATGGAGAAATTTAGAAGCACTCTTAGGTGATAGGTCAGAAAGGGATGTTGTTATGGGCAAAGATCTTATAGCGATGTGTAGCAACGCCAGATTGGGAACTCTGCCAGAAAGGTGTAATCACCATGGGTGCCATTCGAGCAAGCGATACCTTCGCATAGTGGATGTTAATGCACAGACACAGGTATGCACACGCATCGCATACCAGGTATGCATGCCTGGTGCAGCGCCTGAGCAGGGATTTTCAGGAAATGGATGAAGGGACTTGATATGGTACCGATGCAGTGAGGGGTTGTGGTGTTGGTTGGATGTGGATGTGCAGGGGAGGGACCAGTTAGAGTGACGGGGGTCATGGGGAGAAGCCCAGGCACTTTGATCTTTGATGAAATCTGATTCAGCTTTGAATTATGTTTCTTTGATTCCTACAGGTGGATGGAAGGAGTTACAAAATGCCGTAAGTGAATTTGAAACTAAATTGCAACCTTAAAATGACTTTGACGTCTCTCTGTGCAGAGAAACGTTCATCTCATTGCTCCTTTGGCTGATGTCTACCGAGATGAAGAGTAAATTAGTCAAATAGCATTATCTTAGAATTGAGCGTACAACACCTCTTTGTCTTTTTGCCTTTGATGTTCACCAGCCTTCTTGCAACACTGTTTCAGGTGGATAGGTTTGGAGTCTCCAGCCCTAACACCCATCTTGTGCCTCGTCTGAAGGGCGTTGACCCCGATGATGCTTTCTCCACTGTGCCTTACGAGAAGGGGTCCACGCTGCTCTTTTACCTGGAGACGTTGGTTGGCAGTAAAGGTATGGCCGTATACAAACTATCAGGCTACGGCTAGAAAGAACACTCATGCCTATGGGTAGCCACTGGCTAGCTTTAGACACATGTTCAACTCCCAGCCATAGCCGGCTTGGTTGTGACTTGTGCTGTTACAGCATAGTAAGTTCAAGGCTGGATGTAAAAAAAACCCAATTTTTTTTTAATTAAAAAACATTAATATTGCTCTGGGGAAGTTGCCCAGACATCTGGGAATATTTATTCAACCATTGACGGCCTTTCTGATGTGTGAGGCTACATTCAGGGGCTTTTTACATGTTTTGTAAGGGAGGGAACTAAGATTCCCCCTTCTCCTTTTATTGCTTCTTTTGAAGAGCCTCCGTTCCTCCCCCCCACCCCAGATCCGTCAAGTCATATCAAGGAGTTGAAATGTTGAAATGCGCATTGCGTTTGTGTGTTATTTCCTTTATTTTGTCTGAGTTGTGCAAAGTGTGCTTGCTTCACCTGTTAGACACGGTCACGTATGACTACTGTGTCTACATGCTCTTCTGAATTGTGTAAATTTGATTTCTGGCCAAATCTTGAATTGTCCAAACATTGAATCTGCGGAATAAAGAGGCAGACAGTACCGAGCAAGAATGTTCTTGTTGGGCGTGCTCATTTATATTCTGTTGTGCAGTCCGCATTGGCCTGTCTGTAGATTCAACCCGAGCAGTGTGTTAATTTGTGAGATGGTCACAAACTCTTCAAAATACCTCAGACCGCACAGATGTGTTACAGTTGTGTTGGACTGTTTTGGGTGAGAAAAATGCGCGTATGCAATTGGAAGAGGTTTTGGGACACTCCAGAACTTATGGCAATTGATTCTCTTTGGTCGTTTTGCTGCAGAGGATTTTGAAGCTTTTCTGCAGTCTTACATCAACAAATACAAATACAAGAGCATCACCACCCAGCAATGGAAGGACTACCTGTTTGAATACTTCCATGACAAGGTAAAAACGTGCAAGTTTTTGGCACAAGCAAACCTTTCTGTCAGAAATTTAAAAGTGGGACTTTCTTTCCATCCGTCTCCTGCTTAAGTAGTCGGTGTACTTGTGTTTTCACTGACAGCAATCGGTATTTGACGTTGTGGATTGGGACGCCTGGTTCTTCCAGCCTGGTATGCCACCTTTGAAACCAGAGTAAGTGGATAGTTTGGACACAGCCTTCAACTTGGCTCTGTCCAGATTAGTTGGCTAGAATGTCCGTGGAGAGTGGCTGTGGCTCCTGGTTTTTGGCTTCTATAGACACACATGCTGTTTTTAGCCACAAATAGTTTGGACCTGGTTTTCCATGAGGCTAAGGCTATGTGGTGATACATGGACACATTTTCAGTTGGGTTGTGAGAGAGTGATATCATTTTGATTTATTATGGCAGTTGTAACACCTATAGTCCTGGATTGATTCAGTAATTTGGAGTTACGCAGCACCATTTCTTCAAGAAAATCTGGTTTCAGGTTTGATAAGGACACCACACCGTATTTTAAAATTTGGACAGTGCGCAGTGAGCAGGTGGATGTTTTGTGTTTCACTGAAGACTATTTCAACATTTTCTGGCATAGTTTTGACACCACATTGAGCAGTTGTTGCACTGAACTTTGCCTGCGATGGTGCCGAGCGGCGACCTCAGACCTGAAATCGTTCACCAAGGATGACATTGCGTCACTGACCTCCAAGCAGGTCATTGAAGTGCTCTCGCAGCTCTTGCTTGAGGTAAGTGGCGTCAACATTTCATGTCAGTCAGGAGTGCAGTGCTTATCTTTGATCCCACAGGTTCTATGATAACTTGGATCACATTAGTCGCTCTCTGCCAAATTTTGGGGATGACAGAAGTTCTGCTCCTTCTCTCTGCTTTTTGCCAATCTTTGTGGCATTACTACATGTGGTTTAATTAATACCAAACTAGACATCAGAGAATTTACAACTCACAAGGAAGAAAACGAATCACTGCAGTAGGCGAACTCATAATGTTGCTGAGGCAGGTTCAAACCTGCCAAACCAGTTGTTGCATGCAATGCACACAGTGCTGCCAAATACCCGAGGGTAGCCTTTGAAACACCTGAAATGTTGCAGCGTGTTACTTGCTCATTTGCATCTACGTGCTTCATGTGTAGCCTTGGAACGGTTGAAAGTGTGCAGAGGGCCCATTTCACGGACTGTTTGTCTTGAACTTTTTGGGTTTCAAAAATTCTGTCCACAAAAATGATGCTAGCTAAGTGCTGTGTATTGTGTATTGCTCTGATCGGTCTCAACTGTGCAAGATTAAAATTGCTGTGTGAATGCCTAAGCGATGTTGTATACTAAGGGCTTTGTCCTGTCTTCATCAGTGCCTGTCATTTTCAACCAAACTAAGGTTTAATCAGTGTGAGTGATTGCATGTCCAAATATTGTAAGTTTGATTCAGTCAAATATTTGAAATTCGTGTACGTGGAATTTCCACAAAAGAGGATACCTCGCTGAGTTTCAAGACAGGAGCCCATCCCCTAGTCTAAGGAAGGAAGTGGGAGTCCATGACGTTGGGTGCTAATTTGATGTTTTACTCCTTTAGTCCTAGCAAGGGGACCTGTCTATTAGAAGCAAACATAGGAAAACTGGGACAAATATTTACAGTTATGAATAGCCTGAATATTTTGCACCATCCTGAACCAAAAGTAAAACTTTTCCCCAGATCAGCTGATTTCCTCTTATTTTGTCTTAGAAAACCATGCCAAACTTTGTGCAGCTTCTTTCTTTTTTTTCCCCCTGACACCCCTGTATGCTTAAAACCAGCCTCCAAGTTCCCACTAATCATCAAATATATCCCTTCCTGGTTTCAGCCACCACTAAGCCGGGAGCACATCCAGGCAATGGAGGGGACCTACCGGTTTGGGGACAGCGGCAATACAGAGGTTGTATTCCGCTGGTTCCGCCTGTGCATCAGGGCAGGGTATGAACCCATCATTCCGAAAGCCCTGGACTTTGCCGTCAAGTGGGGACGACTCAAATTTACCCGGCCAATCTTTAGGTAAGGAGGAGACTCTGCATTTTTAAACATTCCATTTCGTTTGGTATTTTGGAAACTGACCTTTGATTAGCAGGAAGTTTCAGCCCAATTTTATAATAAGCAGTGCAGTTGAATGTCTGTTTTTTTTTTTAATGCGAGCGTTTTGATTGGAAATATCTGTCATTATGTGCTTCCAACCAGTGTTGCAGTTGAGACCATCACAAGACCGGTCACAGGACCAGTTTACAAGTAACAGGGTGAACAGTGATAAAAAAATGCTTTTGTTGCAGTCCATTTTAAATGCTTGTGACTTGACTTCAGACTTGAGGTCTTATACTGATCTTGGTGGGTCTTGTGGTCTTGGTCGGTCTTGGTGGGTCTTGTAGTGGTCATGGTCAGTCTTGTAGTGGTCTTGGTGGGTCTTGCACTGATCTTGGTGGGTCTTGTAGTGGTCTTGGTCAGTCTTGTAGTGGTCTTGGTGGGTCTCGTAGTGGTCTTAAGAAGCAGCATTGCATTCAAGTCCCTCCAAGTCCCTCCAAGACCCTGCAAGTCCATTACAAGTCATTCAGTTGTGAGCCAATTCACAAGCTATTCAAATGAGTTGTGACAAAAGCATCCCCTTGTCATTGTTTATCCTGTTACTCATGACTGGCCTTGTGAAGGGACTTGTGACAGGCCTTGTGAAGGGACTTGTGACAGGCTTTGTGAAGGGACTTGTGACAGGCCTTGTGAAGGGACTTGTGAAGGCCTTGTGAAGGGACTTGTGAAGGGCCTTGTGACAGGCCTTGTGAAGGGACTTGTGACAGGCCTTGTGAAGGGACTTGTGACAGGCCTTGTGAAGGGACTTGTGACTGGCCTTGTGACAGGCCTTGTGAAGGGACTTGTGACAGGCCTTGTGAAGGGACTTGTGGAAGGACTTGTGAAGGGACTTGTGGAAGAACTTGTAATGGACTCGAATACAAGACTTTTAAGAAGTCTTGGATTCTAATGCGTTTTCCCAGGCCTACATACCTTTAACAGGAACTTTAAAAGAGAAAAAATTGATATGGATACCCACTCTTGCTGCAGACTGTAAAGAAAAATGATTCACATTCCCGGTGTCTACGTTAATGGCCTATTTTTATTTGAAAATTTCTTTTTGTCCTACAATAGAGATTTGTTTAAATTTCCTGCTGCTCGAGACCAGGCCATCGCTACATTCCAACAACACAAGGATGAAATGCACCCAATAACGGCTGAAATGATCAGCAAGGACCTCCAGGAGAGCCAACCGACAAGTGGATAAGTCTAGCATCAGTGTGGGGATGGCATTTCCAAGTGATGCTCTGACAAAAGACCAAAGGCATAGGATCATCTCCCCTAAGTTTATAATCACACCTATGCAATTAGCTAAACAACAGAAGCAGTAGAAATGTATCCAGCAATACATTGATCAGTTTTAGAGTTAGTGTTTGTTTCAGCGATAATGGACGGATCATGGGATAATATTTCTGCGCTAGCATTAGAGTGTTTTTCATAATTTGGATGATTTTTCAACAATACGAAGTACTTTTGACCATTTCAGTTAAAAATGACTGAAGGAGCCTGCTATATATTCAGGTGATATGTCATGTGTTTGGCTCATCTAATGAAAGGCTTGATCGGGAAAAAAAAGAAAAATGAAAATAGGTATTGAGTTATACAAATCTTTATTAATCTTATGATGCTGTACAAGATACCATGAATCCTCCTGGGGGGGGTGTGGTGTGTCTAAAGGACACTTGTGAGAGTGACAGGTGGTTTCCAGGCCCCCATCATTCTAACTACTCATCCCCAATACCCCCCCCACGTCTCATCCCTTCCAGTCTTCCTTTAAGTCCCACCTGCTCACACAGATTTACGTCACTGTGCTGTCGCATATGTTTAACGATTGTACTCCCTGAGGCTTTTGTCAAGTGCCCTTATCCCTGAACACCTGAAATTTGTCGAATCGACTTGAAAAATGCTGAAGCTCAAGAAGTAAGAGCTAAGAAGCATTGTCGCGGTTGCTGCTTTCACTGAAATACAAGAAAATTCACTGTTATTTTTATCATTTGCAAGTGTGAATCCAAACTCCGTGATGACCATGAAGAACATCTCTCAGCTGGCAAAATTTGATTTTATGACAGTTAACATGGAAGCGATCATTGAAATTGATGAGCCTATCAATGAATGAATTTATTTCATTTAGTAGTAAAGTTTTAAGTTTTTCATGTGCAAGAACAAGTAGAAGTAAAAATAGATAATACTGATATACAAGAAAATTATCAGAAATGAACCAGTTTTAGGAATAAGTATCAAGTTCAGGTTAAAGCTATAAATGTTGCATCCAGCAACAAATGAGACCGAGGGGTACCCCCCCAACATGTCCAATCCCTAGACACACTCCGGACTATTGTTACCTAACACATCGCCCCTCGTTGTCTGAAAAGAATTCCCCAGATTCCAGTGAGACAATAACCAACACCAAGCAGGGGGGTTCTCTCAGTCTCATATTTTGCTTCATATGATAAATTGTATGAAATAAGCCACTGTGTAATACTCAAGAAAAAAGTAGTTTGCAAAGAAAATAACCTCTAGAAAAGATAACCAATGTCACAGTTGAATTTACGAAGTTGTGAAAAGTCGTTTCACATTATGAAAATCACTTAATAGTCACGTAATAGTACATGTAGTTTGATAATCGACGCCTGTGCATTTAGGTACAATGAAACCATTGAAAATGGACAGCTTTATAATTAAATCAATGGAAATCACAGAAATCACAGATATGTTTGTGGTGTTACTCTTTGCTGTTGCTTGGAATCATTATTGCTTTGTTTAATTACCTTTCTGTTTAAGGTTCATTTTGTTTCCCATTTAAATTCTAAAATCTAAATGTGCATCTCCCCTTGTAAATGATGTAAAAAAAACAGGATAATATTGGCAATTTACAATAATATATTTGATTTGAATTTTTGCTCAATGTTGGATGTATAACCCTTTGTATTCATGATGTCTCACCGAACAAAAGGTCAACAATTGACGCCGCGAATTTTCCCCCAAACGTTAATTTTTGCAAACGTCATATTGTCATGTTTTATTCTGATAAAAATGGCCGAATTTCCCTTCGTGCAAGAGGCGCTACTTTTGTCAGTGCAAGTCACAGTTGAAAATAAATTTAGGGCTATTGATAAACGCTCAAGTCTCTTTAATATTTTAGTAGATTTGCAATATTGGAAAGCGATCATTTTTTAATGAATGAATTACAACCATGGGCTGAAATTGATTTGAAACTATGAAGATTTAATATGAAGTAACCTCACATTGCCATTGACTACAACGTAGCCCGGCGGCTGTTACATGATCGGATATTTCACTTTTATGACCTTTTTGGGAACCATTGTCTAGGACCCTAAAGTCACTGACGAGTACAGTATTGTTGCTTAGATAGTAGTCTGTCACCTGGACGAGGGATCCGTGCTTTCTGGAGACAAGAGTACATTATAAGTGGTTGGTATCCGTTCGATAAGATAGTCTAATGAAACAGTCACCGGTGTTGTACTAGTGCGGCTAAACTCCGTCGCCTTGTTGAATGCGCAGTTTCTTTTGCAACAAAGGTTTTTCCCTGAGCAGTATTTGCGATAGGTAAAGTATCGATCCATGTGCGCACTCCCGGACAGTGGGGCCTGCTGGTGCATCTGCCCCGCTTCCCAGAGCCGATCAGTCACACTGCGCACCCGCCGAAAGAATACCGCTCGCAAAACCACTGTCGCGTTCCCATGGAAATCTAGCCGACTTTAAAAACGCGAGGTTTCGACTCCCTGCGTGATTTCCGGACGGGGAATTTTCAGGTGTATATATGCACTGTTCTTGAGATGGATATTTATCGGCCCTTTGCTTTTCGAAATTCATCAGTAAGCTAGGATTACAAGGATGTCTTGGTACAGCCAGGCGATGATGCTCTGCCTATTCGCCATAGGAGCATCGGCATTATTTGGTAAGTTTAGTCTCTACGTCAGTGTGACGTAAAGAAGCTGTGTCGTCTTACTTCCGAACAATTTTTGAACTTTCGTGAGAGAAGACGCTTAGTCAAAAACGCTCATTCTAAGTTCTAGAAAAGCTGCAAAATATTGTCTTCAATCGCCATTATAATAGTTTATATAATAGTTTGTCTATCCGATATCCGAGTTTCTGTGAAAATTTTGTTTGAGAAAAATATTTGTAGACATCTATTTGGGGTTAATTGCCTAAGAAGAGTTTGAAGTTGTTTTTAATCTCTTATTTTAATTGTGGTAAGTAGGATAAACTATTTGATTTTGGTAGTAGTAAGCTCTAGAGGCTTTCATTCATTGTTTATCTGTGTATTTTTGCTGCCTACACTTGGTCAGAAAAGTCACTCGAGGATCATTGCAGCTTTTCAATTTTTGCAGAACTAAGAACTGTGTTTTAAAACGTCGTGCGTCTTACGCATGAGTAAAAGCTACAGTTAAGACGGAGGTAGTTTGAATACACGTTTCAAGACTGATCACGTTTCTGAGCTGATTGACATTTCGTAGTCTGCAGATGAATATAGTATTGGGAGGATTTATTCAACTTCATGGCATCAGACTTTTTTTCACAAAATCTGTATCCATGACTTACCATAGTTTTCATTCGCTTTTATTTTCAACTTGTAGATGAAGACATCCGGCATAAGCCATCGATTTGCAGACGAAAAGCGAAGTCAGAGTGTGATTTGGGGATCTGTGAAAGGTATTATAAGATTTCGGTGGCATTCGTGGATAGTTGCCAAAACACAAACAGAACAACTGCAAAAAAAACAGCAAACACGAACAACACAATAACAGATACACTCTAAAAACATACCAAATTAAAAGCCTAGCAACGATGTTCGTTTGTGTCTCACGCAAAGACCACGTGGCGATAAAGTGACCGCTAACAGGAGACATGAAATGTTACAGTGCGATTCAAATATTGGCAAAGGAATTGTCAATCACGCCCAACTCAGGATCGAACTCTCATCAGGTTCGTCTCTTCACAGTTTAGACAGCCTCGTTCACAAGTTGTGGCGTCATCATCATGACGCTGTATTTCCTCAAATGTATGAGCAGTTTTGGAAAATAGAAATAAAATAGTGGTTAATAATAAACACTTTTACAAATTTGAAAGAACTAGTTAAATATGTGTTAGTGTGGCACAAAAATGGAGGGTAAAGTATCGATTTTTGGTCAGGGTGCAGTTATAGCTCTTCGAACAGTTGTGCAACAAAAGCGCCAGCCTCCCAAGGTATCGATCTCTTACATAGTTTGATATGACGCGTCGACGACAAAGACACAACTCGATCGATGTCTGCAGTTGTGATCGAGCATTTACGTGTAGGCCTATTGAGGATGTTAAAGGGTATCGTCGAATGAGATTTCAACTTTTTCTTGGGCTGCTACACGTGTTCCCTAAACTTCGTCTTTTCACAGTCAATTTTGTAAAATAACCTCAAGGAAGTCATAGTGTCACATTCGTAAACCTTTATTTTTAAGCCAGTAATTCGAATACAGTTACACATATGGGCGAAGATTTCTTGTCACATATAAGGGGATGATCTCTGAAAGCTGAGCTCCGCCTCTATCCCAGGTGAGATCGTGACACTAGCAAATGCGGAGTACGGTGGTGCATGCAAGATAAGGATGCGCATATAGACACTGTCAGTGATTTGAAAATGGGGGTGGGGATGAGTGTATTGGTAATCCCCCGGTCAAAAAGTGGGGGAAATTCCCCCCCCCCATATCTCCAAGCATCTCCGCCCATGGTTACGCAGTGTCATGAAAATCATTTTTTGCTTGTTCTTTTGTCACCGTAGTTTTTAAACGTATACGTGCACTGCATTTATTTTATAGAAATTTTTACCGATGGCCTACTGACATTTTTCATCCGACTAGACACAAACGAAACAATTGTTGATAGGGGTATTTTTATTCATGACATGATACTTGAATCTTCTGTATTTTCTCTTTTTTTCTTTTTGCTTTATAAATTGAGTAACACTGAATGTTCCTTAAAAATACAACCCTGAAGAGACATCTGCGTGCTAAACTCCACTGGTTTGTTGTTAAAATCTGGAGGGTGATCTTGTCGTAAAAATCGCGTGTTGCGGCTTCTATAGACTAAAAATTGGACTCGAAATTGCCAACCATTGTCGGAAGTACATAGCCTAACACCTATTCTATTTCCCTTTCACCCCTTTCCTTTGTTAGATATGTAGAGACAGAGTGTTACCATGGTGTTTGCTCTAACCACACTGGGGAGTGTGTCTGTGCTCCTTGTTGGACGGGAGATAGATGTGATATCCTACGTAAGTTACCGTGTTTCTTCTTGGAGGTTAGAGAAGTTCTACTTTTCCGAACTTGTCTCGCCTTTAGATGTGAGTGTTCAACACCTCTCCTACAAGCAGAAAATTAACATCGCTCTCGGCCGATAGTCTGATAAGATATTTGTTTTAATTACATTTTTGTAGTGGCAAAGCTCAGTTGCATCAAGGCAAGGGGCAAATCCAGAACCAATTTTTTTTAGCGGCCCAGCTTTCTGTCTTTTTTGGGGGGTATACAACTTCGTCATGAAATCTTTATGGCCTGGGGTTTGAGACTCAGTTTTGGGTCAAGTTACAAACTTTCGGGATAAATGTGACCCGCTCTGTAAAAATGAGTCACAAGTCATCAGAGCCACTTTTGAGTTCTACTTTGTAATGTTTGAGGAAACGGAGCTCTTTGTTTTGATGTGCCACTCAGTTCAGTATAATGAAATGGATTGTTGAGGAATCGTATAAATACCATGCAAAATTCTTTCAAAGGCCTTTAACTCTGAAGTGGCGCTGGCATCATGGGACTCATTTTGTTTAGAGCAGGTCATAAATGTGAAAGGAAATGCAATGGTACCAAAAGATCGTTCTCCCTTCCTTGTCTTTAAAACACTCGAACATCACAAGTACCTCTTATCTTGTGCGTAGGGGGAGGGTATTGGCCCAGTTTTCCCCCTCTCGAGGTATCCGTCGGTACTCGAGGACCTTTAAGTTAACTTCGTTTGTTACAGTGGTTGTCGACGTCCTTGCAAAGGTTTCTGTTTGGTAAAAGATTATGAAACTGCACGTCCCTAGTTCTGCCATTGATCCGTGTCCATCCTGCAAACACCGCCCAGCCAACCAAAATAGAGTGGACTATTTGAAGCAATGAATAATTAATTTGTAAATTGATTTTTAACGGCGGAGTAATATCTTGCAATGGTAGTTTACAAAACAAACGACACACAGCCACGAAATCGAGAGAAAAGGTAGTGTGTGCTATATTAAAGAAAGCAGAAAACGCTGACATTAAAACGTGAGCTATTTGGAAGAAAAAATCTAGTTTTCGGATAACCTTCCATTTAGTACTGTTATTGTTATTTTAATCTTTTCAGAGTGTATAAGGGTAGTGCTTTAAATAGTTTCCTGAGCAAAATCGTGAAATCCATGAAGATGCTGAAACTAGTTTCTTATTTTCTGATACCAGATTTATGTAACTCTCCGTGGATTAATACATTACAGTCTTTGTAATTGTGGACCTCAAATATCGTGCATTTGCTTCATTTGATACATATTTATACATTTATACTTGCCACTGTTTTACAGAAAACTCACACGTACCAGTATTCCAGCAACAGACGGTTATAGTTGACGTTGATATCAAAGACACTTACAGCGATGACGTCATTGTTAAAGTTGGGGCGGATGACCCAGATGCAGAAGAGTGTTCTTATTTGGATAGCTGCCCGTGTGCGAATATTCTATACTCCATCGAGGAGGGGAATGAAGACTCATTATTCATGATCGATCCCAGGAGCGGGGAGATTCGACTGACTCGTACACAAGCGTTGAAAGGTCTTTCACAAGATGCAGAGTTCAAACTGATAATTTCAGCTAAGAACCCAGTACATCGCACACGAGTGAGGAGGAGGTTAGATCATCCGGCGGATGGATCAAGTGATAACGCAAGTCCAACCATGGTGGTACTGGTGACCTCCTCCTCGCCGGAGAAAGTTGAAACCGCAGCCGCACATTCAAGGAGAAGACGATCGGTAAGCATTGGCCATGTCAGGCTCTCCTCTTAAGGTGTCGAAGCATATCAACACAATCTTTTTCTGTCAGTAGTTTTGATGTAACTTTAGGCCTATGTAACTATGATTTTTTTTCTGCAGAAACATTACTTTTATCTTGTAACTGCAATTACTGAAGCCGTTCGGGAACAAGTTCTTAAAATCTGGACGTCCGAGTGATCAACAACCTGAAACGCTTACACTTTTCAACGTCTTTACTTCCATAAGTTGTACAAAATGGTATTGGCGGGTTTTTTTAACTCTAACTTTTCCACCAATCACAAAGTTATTCCTGTTACAGTTAGATATAGATTATTGCATCTAGAATTAAACATCTTTCGTTGTTATTGTTACAGGGTTCATTTTTCCGGACTCCTTCAAAATGACAACTGCTGTTCTGAAACCCTCCTGATAAATATAACATTTACGTTCAAGTTAAAATGTAACAAATAAAAGAAGAACAATAGTCAAATTAAATGAAAATAAAAACTGAGATGATGATGATTATTGAATAGAAAAAGTAATTGAATAGAAATGGCAGAAATGAAACATAACTATAAAATCGAAATCCAAATGTAAAAGTAATGTCAGAAAAGAAACAACCACAGGGCAATGTGTGTAAATTAAAACAGCAATAAGAAACGTCACAGAAAAGTTCATTGGCATTAATCTGTCTTTGGTAGACGAGTGGCGTTCCAACTTCAGAAACCTTTACCCTGGAGAAACTCTCACCCTACACCGATGTCACGGATATCAAGATCGGGGAGAAAGTACCGCTCCGTCTAGTCATCTGGCTGCCAGTCCAGACGACGACTATGAAGGTAGAGTTGCTAACGCCGTACGAGTCCAGCGCCATCCTAGTCCTATGTGATCCACAGTTCACTCACGTTGGAAATAACTACCCATCGTTTGACAGCAGCAGCATAAGGCCAGAGTATTACTCCCATGCAGGGGACTTCAGGGTGAGTTGGCAGGATTTAATTATACCTGGCTGTAATATTTGTATTATGGAGCAGGGTCATTCTATGAGGTTGGGGCATAGTTTGAGGCAGTGTCCTTGTTACATCCAAAACTTTTACCACCTGTCATGACCTGTAAAGTAGGTCATTTACTCTGAGAAAATAAAACACACCTTTGTATTCAGCCTGGCAAGAGTATAGCAATGTCACTTTGGAATCCACATGTAGGGAAATAGCTGTTCATTTTTATGGAACCCATGTAACAATTGACACCGTCTCAAATTGTGCCCCGACCTCCCGGAATGACCCAGTACCGAGCGACGCGAATCTTCATTTCACAACTGCGGTGAATGGTACGCAGTACTTTGCATCGGCCGGGATGATTGCCTTTCTCGAAAGACTTGAAAAAATCTCATTTTGTTTTGTCTTTTCCCCCAATTCAGAAAAAAATCGTCCACATTTCTGTGATCAAACTTACATTTTTAGGGGGTACAAAAGCATATAGGTATGTATATGCGTATTTTACCGATCGTGTAAAATGACAATTTCTGTCTATGCTCAAAGCGCCCTGTACATGTGTTTCACTCCCACGAATTCCTTTGTGTCTTACAAATTTCTCGTCGTCAATATTTTTTCAAATTCGCAAGAGTGTCACTTTGCATCGATGAATACGAAGCTGCTACTTATATTAATGAATTTTTAAATTCGAGGTTTAAAGATATTAAACTGGACCCATGTTAGCAAAGGAAGTAACTTTTCTTTTTATTTATTATTATTTTTGGGGTCATTCTGGTTTGCAGTATGACCGCGTCGTGCTTGACTTGGGCTCGGTCGTAAACACTGGTTCCAACACGGCCGACGATGTTCTCAACAAGATCCACTTGGATTTCAACGTTATTCTCCAGCTCAATAACGCCACAGAGTATGGGGAAAGCTATATGGTGTCGGCGGCTGTATCCTACGGTGCAGGCCTATCGAATGTCTGGTCCGGCGGGACAGCATTCTCTCCCGTCAATGATACAAACGATTGGGTAAATGATAGCTTTTAGCCTATAAGGAAATCGGGATCTGATATCTTTTTTTATCATGATTTTAGCGGAATCATTAAGTGTCATGTGAAAAAAGGCCTACTCGACAGAGCAGAGAATTAATGAAATTAGAAGGTGAAGGTTTCTCACCTACCGTCTTTTTTTTTGTTGGGTATTATGTTTCGTTTTCCTCCCTGCTCCAAAAAGGTAGCCCCCAAAACTTAGCCTCGCATTTTCAGTCGAAGCCACAACATTCGGACGTAGCCCTAATCAGCATCTCCATTAAAAGTCCAAAATTAAGATCCGGAATGGCTTCATTGGCGCGTAAGAAAACAAACTAATGTATGTTCACGGTATAAAAAGAACTACAGATAATTAGGTAAAATACGGGATGGTTCATCTGATTACTCCCTGATTGCTTCGTTTTTTCAGTCAACGAGTTCCCCAGTTCTCACCATCTCTGGCCCAGATGAGATGACGACCCAGAGTTCCGCCATCTTTCATTTCGACCTTGTACTGAAGAATTACGTCACGGACTTCTACCTGGATATTGTTGCCGAGCATTATGATTCGGGCAATCCTGTCATGAAGATCTGCGAATTCCAACTTACCGGAAAAGGTAGGGTGATGTGGTTCAGCGAAGAAGCTTGCAAAAAATACTGAGCAGCTGTGGAATAAATGTTTAATTAATCTTTCGTTTCTTTGCTTCTGTTGTTAGCACTTACGGTCGGGTAAACAGAAAAACAAAAAGAGTAATAATAAAACAAAGCCCAAATAGTGAAATCGTTGTCATCGCCAAAACCAAGAGGATTTCAACTCAGAAAAATAGACTTGAATTCGTAATGTTTACTGTCTGCAATGGGAAATTTACAAATTGTATCCAATCCAGTGTGTCGTAGTAATTTCTTTGAAAATCCTTTACTGACTACTAAATATATCCACTGGTTAAAAGGATTATGTATTAAAAAAGGAAAAACATTGTTTGATGTATCTGATTCTTTCGGTCTTGCTTATATCTGTCTTCTTTCTTCTTTTTACAGGTGATAACTACGGCTGTATGCCGAATGAACTGCCTCGGTTTTCATCAGTTTATGACAACGCCACATTCGACAATGCAACCGTCTTGGCGAGGTTGGACTTCGGCGAGATTGTCAACACGGGTATGCTTTGATGATTATGTTCTTATGGTGTTCAAATTGTGAGAGAGTCACAGGTCCATGTAATGAGTGGGGATGCAGGATGTGCCAGTTCGGTATTCCAACAGCGCATACCCCAAATGAAGCGCAGTCATTCGGATGCGTGTGCAACATCTGCCCTGTCAGCGCAGCCGTGCGCAGACGCGTAACCGATTTGTTCCCGAATGACCTTTGTTTTTTAAAATTGATATACCGAACTGGCTCATTATTGAGGTGTGCTTAGCTTATCTATACAGGTTTGAGAATAGAAACTTTAAAACATTTCGAACCTTTCATTAAATGCGTCACTTAATGCTCCTTGACGTCTATTCAGATCTGGGGATTTATATTCATATTTCTTGCCGAGGAAGGGGGGTAATTTCTCGCTGTTATTCACGATACATTTTAAAGGTTTGCGTGCAGGCAACAATAGCGACGATGAGAATAAAATTTCCACGGAAGCTGTGGTGTACATCACCAACAGTTCTAACATTGTGGACGGAGAGAAGTATTGGCTGGGCGTAACCATCACGGTAGATGGCTCTAAAATATATTCCAACCAGCAGGCCATCACAGCACTCACAACGCCAGCACCGACTATGGTAAGTACACCTTATGAATAATCCAAAGTTCATTTGCGTGAGAGCGCGTATCAGAGATTTGCAACAACATCGCAACTCTCCAAGATTTACTGCAGTGTCGCAACTGCTGAGTGGCTTGTGATTCGTTGGTTGATTCAAATAAGCAAATTCGCACACTTTGAAGTCTGAGGGCTAGATGTGAAATTCAGTCAAGAGTGTGAATTATGTACGAGCAGACAGTTTGAACTAAGTACGAGAGTCAACACTTTGAATTGTGTACGAGAAGAACAAATATGTACCTGTACAAGGCTCATTTAATAGTGGCCAAGTCTCTTCCATCTAATGCCAGTAGGCCTACTTGTAATGGCAAAGTGGATCGACTTACTTGACCCAAATAGAAACCGTCAAGCCAAAATATATCCCCTTGCGTTTTGTATCCCACAGACCGTCGATCCTGTCATCGAGTTCTACGCTGTCGATGGATACGCCGTCACCATCGGGGGCACTGTCGGCTTCGTAGTGAGCATTGACATTCCGGAGAACATCACTTCCGTGTTCATTGTTGACCTGTCCATGCCTTACACGGCTTCCAACGGGGCAGTACTGTCCATCTGCCGGGCGGAGGTGGTCTACGTCGGGTACAATCTACCGTGCATGCAAAGCATGACACCGGAATTCAAACGAGAGGTTTGTGTTCGTTTGCCCGCTTTGTTAGTTTGTGGTTGCAAGAGGAATTTTCATTCAGCAAGGTTGATTACTACGACTCAATTAGTTCCCAAAACAACTTCATCGACACTGGTCAACATTTTTCAGTTTTTAATACTTGATGTTGTGCACATAATGTATCGTTTAAAGTCACAACCTTAAATGTCCCGTCGGGTATTTTACAAGAAACTGTGCAAACAATTATTCAGTAAAATTTCAAATATTGAATTTGTGCTCTTAGCACTGAAAATGTGGACTTTCTGTGTCTCATATTTATCCATGGGTTCACTATCACAACTACAGGACGGACAGAACGCAGATTACGTACAATTTAACTTTGGAGGCATCACAAACCTTGGCCGCCGACACCAGACTGATGACAGTAAGCTAAAAGTATTAATATCCGCTGAGCTAATGGCTAGTCACCCTGACGTCTCAAATGGAACTGAGTTTGAAGTAACAGCTGGCATTCGCTACGAAATGGCTGACAAGGATATACTCTGGGTATCCAAAGCACAAATCACAGCCGTTGATTATCAACATCATGAATATTCAGACAACGACAAGGTAGGCCATAATTATATAGTTGTCTTTTCGATCTTTCATGGTACTTATCTTTTGAAAAGAAATATCCTAATCTGCATTTCCTTCAGAATAATTTGCCTGTTTAGCACAAATACACGTGATGGCGTCATTTGTTACATCAGTAAGAATAACACCTTTAATTTGAAATTGATAATCACTTCTTTGCCACATTTCGACCACAGATACCAAAATTCAAGATTCGAAACCGTGGTAAAGATTACTATCTCTACAATAACTCGGCTGTTTCCCTGAACATCACCGTAACAATCCCGCCTGAGACAACCTACACCCCGGTCCTCCTCAACATCAGTGCCGGGAGAGGAACGACTGACCGCCGGCCACTGTTCAGCATCTGCCGTGTCGAGGTCGTCAAAATCGGGCCCGACTTCTACTGCCACAGCCTGGACAAGACCGTCGTCACCAACATCTCAACGGCGGACGGCGTCGCATACGAGTACCTGGTGGACCTGGGCGTGGTGACCAACAGCCTGGAGATGGGCATGCAGAAGGACCCGGATGACGGTGTCTTTGTGGTGGAGGTCGCTCTTCACTGGCTGGATCACCTAGAGTTGGTTCAAGGAGAGAATGTTACGTTGTCAGTGGAAGCCATCTACGGTCCGAGCGGGACTTGGCATGGTTCCATGGACTACATTATCAATTTTGATCGACCAGAATTCCGGCAGGTAGGAACTTGTACTTGGGTTATAGTGAAAATAGTTTGACTAATTTTTCTCACTAAAATAGTACTTTCCATTCATAGCTACAAATGGTAAAAACGATATTAATGTTTCTTAGAGAATTTTATGAAAGCTTCGCATTCATGTTTACATGCAATTCCTTTCATAATTTTTGTAATTTATTAGCAATTTATGCTTTACATCCAGCGAATCACAAACAACAGTGGAACAGTTTTAAATATACCGTGTTTCTAGCAGTGAAATTAACACACTCATTCCCCTTACAATCACCAATCCCTTATAATATAAAAAAAACTTTCAAGAAAAGACAACTTTCGAGAAAAACAGTCGAAGTCCAGAAATTGTCATGCGTGTACTGCACTTTAATTTCTATAGGATGACGATGCACCGCAGTTTGCCCTGACCCTCGGACCGAGTCAAAGCAGCTTCTTACGGGCGGGTGGTATCGCCGTCTACTACCTCTCCGTACTCACGCCACCCAATTCGGCCGGCACTTACTGGCTGGACGTGGCGAGCACCAACAACAGTCTCAGCGTTTGCCGCTCTCACATGGTGTCTGCCGGCCGCAACCTGCCCTGCTTTGAGACCGAGCGACCCGTGCAGTATTTATCGTACGAGGAAGATGGACATCGGGACAGGGCTGTGCTGGATATCGGTCCCGTGAAAAATATTGGTAGGTGAAGTCGATTGGGCCAGAGGAATTTGCTCCGCAAATCGAACTATCTTTCATCTTTCAATCTTTGTTTATTACAACTTACAAAATGGACACGTTTGACGTACTTACTGGTTAGAAAAATTACAACTGAATTATACCCTTTTCCTCGAGTCGTCATACGACACATTCTATATATTTTCTTAACCTTTTTAATTTGTGAACCAAGTTTTAAAATCGTGTTCAATAAAATTGAAATCATACTCAACAAATCGAGGGATAACAAAGAGAAAGGGGACTAATTTTTATACGGAAAGATGAAAAGGGGTGGTATATTCATGCTGTAATTTGTTTTTCCTTTTCTCGGGTATATGTTACCAAAAACAGAAAGTAGGTTTTTCGTTCATTTAGACAAACCAAGTCGATGCAAGGCTTTTGAACATGTTTAATTCTGACACTTCTAACTTCCTGATTCTGCAGGCACAAAGCCTCTCTCCGATGCCGATGACAATAATATGGTAGCCCAGGTAGTTGTAAAGCTAGAAGATGTGGCCGTACCTCCAGACAATTTTACGGAGCCAGAAGTTCAAGAATTTGAGGTGACAGTCAAGGCAGGCGACACAGAGCTATACACGGTGCCCAAGCAGGTTCATGTCGATGTCAGACCAGCTTTCACTAATTTTGTAAGTGGATTTTCTTTCTTTTTCACACCTCACAGCCTTTTTGAAGCAAATTGATTTTGGGCTAAATATTGGAGAGGATTATTCTCCATTGCTGCATGAATACAAGCTAATATATGCCACAGCTGTAATAGGTCTAAACCCTTTTACCAGAGAGATAAGAGTTGTCATGGATCAATCTGAAGTCAAATGAATAAAACTATAAGAAGCATCAGAGAAAGCACAGTTTTGTTATGAAGCGAAAAAAGCTCGAACTTGACTGCATGGAGCAGTTATCTCAAAGACATTTGAAAATTTGTATGCTGTATACTTTTTGATATTTGACAAACCTAAGCTTTCCGTAAATTACAACTTAATGTTTTAGTATTTATAGAGTTCTCCCGCTCACATCTCTCACTTTTCCTTTGCTTCAACAGACGGAGATTCCCGTCGTTAAATTTACTAAGTTGAATGCTGAGCCTCTGGTCACCATTGGCGGAGGCGTGGTCTACAACTTGGATTTCTTTGTGCCGTATGGATCGATTTCAGATTATCAGGTAATCTCTATCCGCTAACAAGTGGTATTCAGATCGATGTTGTCGTGAGATAAATCATACTGCATTTATTATATTCTGTTCAAATTTAAAAAGCATCTCAAGACTTATATAGGTATTACATATCAGGGATGACGTAAATGGTTTACTTTGAAACGATTTGGAAGATTTATAACAGTCTAATGAAGGCTGCTGGCATAGTCATTTTGTTCCATTGCGTATTACAGAGGATAGAACAAAATTTATTTATCCAATAAGCTGAAAAATCAGTATTCAGACTTCGGTTTTAATGATTTGCTCCTTTTCTATTCAAGGTCCGGTTTTTCGGTGATCGAGTTGACCCTTACAGGACGACTGTATGCGAGGCTAGATTGATTCAATCTGGCTGGAATGTGCCATGCGTCAATGGCACGTTCTTAACGACGATATACAACTCCACCAACAACGATGACCACATTGATACGGCCTTTATAGACGTCGGCACAGTCGCTAATATGAATCCTCATGGATCAGTAGTTGCGTCTGAACTCAACAAGGTAGACTAGCAAACACAACATGTTGTCCTTCCTCTTATCTGAGACAAAAATGATTAAAGCTAACAGTGCAATTACTTAAATCTCCATAAGATATTCGTATGCAAAATACGTGTATCATAATTGGGCAAATGGTGGATTTTCATAGCCAGATACCGGTAATGTATTGAAAAGAACTTTTTAACGACAGAAATATACTGAGTTTCTTAAATGTACTTGCTTTCATTGAATTATGCACATCAGGTCAGAGTTCAAGTCGTTGTCCAGCTTGAGAACAATGACACGGTGATGGAGAATGACCAGCTGTGGTTGGGTGCGGTCTTGAAGCTAAACGAACACAATGAGTACTACCTGCGAGCCTCGTTCAACGCAACTCAAGACAGCATTTACTCGGAGGTTTGTCTTCGCGACCAACTCCAGCCTTCACGATCGCTAAACTTATTTCAGAAAAATTCGCTTTAAGATCAACGGTTTACTTTGTGATTGTGATTAATAAGTACATGGTCGAAGTATGCGTTTTGTGTAATGATATATTTTTCAATTGCATACCATGATCCGTCAACATCTGCATGTGCAAAACTCCATTTGTAGACGTGGTATAACAGTGAGAATACCATTGTGTCTACATACGGCCTTTTCCCCTACCTATTTCCTCTGATTACATTGATACTTTTCACACATCGTAAGGGGCAAGGCCAGGGTTGAGACACTCTATAAAACGAAACAAGGGAAAACGTCTAAGAGGCAATCATGTGAACCAATTTGGAAGACATTATTGTACGCAAACCAATCTCATTATTTATTGTTTACTCGATTAGACGAGTCCGCAGCCGATATTCCAAATCTACCAGCCACGGGATAACGTTGTCATGACGATCGGCTCCAGGGAGACCTACTACCTGAAGATCACCACCCCAGTCATGAGCACCCCAATGACCGTCAACATCACCATGCCGACGGCTGGGGACGAGGCTTTCCTCACCGTCAGCGACATGCAGCTCGTGCGGGTTGGCGTCAACTACGCCTGCCACCATCTGTACGAGCTGGAGCCAGTGTACAACTCCACACACTCGACCAGTCAGAACGACACGGCATTCGTGGATTTAGGAATAATTACTAACCATGGTAATCATTTTCACAGGAAAATGAGTTAAATATCCACTGTCTATTTCTGGGTTGTGATTTACTGCCTGACTGGGATGTGCCGCTGGTGTTATATAGGGGTTAAGTTTGCACGGAATAAGTATCTAGTATCTAGTATCTCCTGTCTCACAGAAGAGTTCATAAACATCGCACTTTTTCAACTGCAGTGCACATGAAGTAATATTGTGTTATTTCAATGCCGTTTTGTTTTATACCAGGAACCACACACTACTACCAATACAATCCCGAGTACGCAATCCAAGAGGACGACGAGATTCTTATCTCTTTCGAGGTGCAACTTGCGGACCACCCTGACCTCTCTGACGGGGCTGAGGTCGTCTTCGATATCGCCTTTGATTACAGCCTGGGCCGCCAGACGGCTTTCAGCGAGACGGTGGGCGTGTCCATTCTCGGTGACGAGAGGCCCGAGGTGGAATTTAACATCACCATGCCTGAGTACGATCCCATGGTGACGCAACAAGGGTAAGGATTTCACTGACACGTCAAATTCTCAGTTGTGAGGAAAATTTGGAAAAATTGCAGTGTTATACTAAACGGATATGAGTAACGATTCAAAATTGAATTCTAAACACTGAGACGTGATAGATTTTTCTTGGCGTTTACTACGTTTGTCTATGAGTTCTCTTCGAATTATACAGTCTTTCTCGCATACTTCCGTTAGCCTATCATATAATATCGTATAAAGACCGGCACTTTCGAATGATTTCCAGAAACAGATTTTTTTTCCATTTTTGCTGTGTGCTTGCTAGGATAGTCTCCAATTACAGTTTGACAGTATTTCATTCTGTGTTAATATCAGTTTCCTGCATTGCCACCCATAAATTCCTATATCTTTACTCTTTCAGAGACCTGCTTCTCACCGAGTTCTCCATTTACCATACCAATTATTCCACTAGCCACGCCTACGGCGTGGTGATATACCTGATGTTGCCTTATTACTTAGAGATTGATCCAGACGTCGAAATTGAGGGGCCCCCTCTTTGCGTTAAGACGTCGGACGCAGGTGTGAAATTCCATGTAAGTATTCCAAGGCAGTAGTCTTTCCTCAGTCTTGTTATACTTTTGAGAGGCAGTGTAGGGTTACAGCGATCAACCATGGAAGGAGTTAATTTGCACAGCCGGTTCACCTATTCCTGTGCGTTATTATTCAGCTTCAAGATCTATCAAAATCCAAGACTGGGTGTTGGGGCGAGATAACGCCAATTCTGAAGATCCCAGATCTCCATGCCAGTCTGTAATTGCATACAGGCCTACCTTTGATTCAATTGTCTTATATCTTCGTTGCCCACTGAAAGTGCCCCGATATAATCTTACATTGCAATGTTAACGTTTTCACCTTTTCTGTCTGTAGTATTAACCTTCGCGATGTGATTTTTACAAAAAAGGAATTAGAGGGAATGAGAGATACCAAGGGTTTAGCTGTCTACGTCTTGATACATCTTGTAAATAATATTGAGGAACAACAATCGTACAGTATAACTCACTGTAGGATATTGATTTTAACTATCAGTTATCTGCTAATGACAAATTAACACCTGTCCTTTTGCATTTTCTATACATGTACAATGTGTTCATGTGTTTGTTCCGCTAGTTCGCCGAGATGTTCTTCACCGATACTTTTACTTTGTGGTTCAATATCTCCATGGATCCTAATCGATATCTGCCGATCGATATGAACTTTGTCAATACTACTATACCACTTGAGATCGTCTACTACAAGCGTGATGGAACAGACGGGGACGGCAACATTGTCCTTGGGGAAGTCTTTAAGACAGAGACGCTAATCCTCGATTTGTCCTTCAGAACTGAGCGTAAGATCTCTTGCATTGCTTCTTTAAAATATCAAGCTATATCACTACCTTTTTAAGGTGGGGTTCTTACGAGTCTTTTGGCTTTTTTTTTTTTACTAACGGTCTTTCAGTTATTCAGAGTGAATCAAAATTAACAACGCACGTGAATGGTGTTTTTTACGATGCCCATACAAGTTTTGCACTGGCGTCCAAAACATTATGCCATGTTTTAACTCAATTAAATACTCTTTTTGACTGGAAACACATTTCATACAGAATTGTGCTGAGTGACATTAAGATTTAGCTGAAGAATATGCAGAATGAAGACAATTCAACACATAATCGAACTGTATTCGTATATGAACTCGTACCCATTGTAGAAGAATTCCTCAAAGTATGTCATATCATTGTGTCCTTTTCATACTATCCCAGCTTTCTAGGATTGAGGAAAAAAGTACGGATGCAAGTTAAGAGGCTCCAATCTGTGATTCGATGAGTATACAGTTACGGTGGTTCAGGAATGATACGAAAAGTAACCTAAAATTCATCCCCTAATTTTGTTTGTTTGGGGCAGAATGCTTCGACGTGCTTGGAATTGAAAGTAGCTACGCCATCAGAGATTGCCAGATCACAGCCAGCTCTTACCTCAATGAAACCTATTCCCCACAAATGGCTCGGCTGAATTCAGAATCTGGCTGGGCACCAGCGATACGAGACATGAAACCATACCAGGGAAATGACTATCTTGAGGTGAGGCATGTGCTCAGGGACATGATTAATGGCAAAGCGCACATGGGATCTTTTAGTCACGTGTCGGCAACGTGTTTGGATATCATTCGTAGATTTACTTTAAACTATTTAAATTCAAGGCGACGCAAAGCTAAGCCAATATTATCACATGACTTATCTCTGAGGACCAATTTTGCCATTTGGTTGGGCTGGTAAATATGATACAATTTGGAGTAAGACCTTAGGGATCACTGCGGTGTAATTTTAGCAGAAACTGCTTTGTGGCAGCATCAAAGTCAGACTTTGGGATAAGTATAGGCAACTTAGCTTAAAATGCATCTTGTCACATTGTAATTGTTTGAGCTAATATCTGCTGGCCACATGTTCTGCCGTATTTCTCTCTGCATAAAAAGCAAACAAAATTGTCAGTCTAATGAGAGACCAATTGATTGCACAGATACGATTTGGCGGACTTCATCGATTCAGCGGTGTGAGGATGCAGAAAGGTTTCAACGATAGCAGCTGCGTCATGTCATACCAACTAAGCTACAGCGTAGATGGCATTGTATGGTTCGACTATGATCAGGTGCGTGACAATAAAGTCATTCTTTACATCTTGATAAAAGTCATTCTTGCTAAAACTCTCTACTTTCCTTGTACGTTTTTAGGTTCTTCTTGGTATCATTTATTGTATTATTTGATATACTGGCGAAGTGCACGTGCTAATGATGGAATAACTTGGTTATTACAAAGTCATATGTCATTCGCCAATTAGGTGGCGCATTCATGATACCGAATCAACAACTCGGCAGTTGCTGCATTTACAACCAATAAGTATTCTATAAATCCCAATAATAACCAGCTAAATGATGATGCTTTGAGAAGATAAAATTTCCATTTCTACTTTCGATAGACATTTATAAATAACTACAACGAGACCCTGAATGATTCCTCGTCGCTCAACCTCATTCCCACGCCGTTCAACGGAGAGTACTTCAGGATACGGCCGCAGAGCCACGCAGTCAACACAACCTATCCCGTGATGAGGTTTGAGCTGTATGGATGTAGACGGACGCCTGATATCGATCTAAATGGTAAAAATGACCCTCTAGTGGCATTAATTCATGTGTCAAAGTTACCCCACAAAGTACATAGTTGGGGGCAGGTACCTTAGTAGAAACAAATCATTCGGCCATTTCTTGAAACAGTATTTTTACCAGGAATTTTCTCATTAATCATCCAAGTTTGGTCTCGGATGGATTGATGTTAATGCATATATGCGCAAGGAATTAAACGAGTTTTGTGTTATAATGAATGAGTGTTCTTATCTTTGATCCTTTGGCGTTATTATTTTCCTAATTTTTTATTTCTATTGTATTTCTGCAGCTGCCTGTGCAAAAACAAAATTCCCAGGTAAGCATAGGATAATTATTTTTCTCCATGAATAGGCCCTAAGGGGTCACACTTTAAGAATTTGTGAAATCGAGCTAATTCGGTTTTCCATCAAAGTATCTGCATCATCAATCAGTGAATCCACAGTGTTGACTGAATCTTGAATTGGTAGAGCGCTGAACAAGCAATGAAATGGTCTCAAGTGCAAGTACGTGTAGTTTCGATTGTCATAATTACTCAAATGTCTGTCTCTCGCCTATTTATTCGTGGATTGAAACGATAAACTGTGTTTTGGTTTATTTTAGACTATCCCTACTACGAACGTGGATTCCTCATCGAACCAATGACTGGAGCTGTTTATGTCTGTATTCTTGAATATATCGAGTGAGTTTCTCACAAATCTTCATTTCCATCCTAAACCTCAGAATCATCAAGGAATGACGTTATTCTAAATCATATTTTTGAAAAATTTATTTAACTACGTGCCTCACGAGATGGACCGCTACATTATCTTTGCACTACATTTGCTCTTCCCACGCCTTAGATGTATAACAACGATCCTTCCGGGGACAAATTGTTGTCGGCGAATTACATCATTGCAAGTCAAAGGATTCCCCGTCTCTATCTAGTTTAAAGCTTTATGGAAGTACAATCAGTTTTACCTGCTACCAGCAATATGGTACAGTGTATCGGTTGCGTATGCCTTAATTCAACTGTTTCCTATTCCAATGTTAATTGCAGCGGCCCAACCAGATGTTCCTACTCACTTGACAACGGAACCACATGGGAAGGTAATGGCCATTTCCGTATAAGGTCACATGTATTACAACTGAAGCCCTGTACTGCAGCAACTCAAAGCTGTGCTCATGTTGCCTTGATGTAGATTTGCTATGAAATATGTTGTGCATGGTAAAATAAACTGAGATTTGTCAGTTTAAACAAACTTAGTCAGATAATGCAGTTCTCTAAGTGTGCTTTTTCTCCTGTAATTTATAAGTGTTGTTTTTGACGTATTTATCATGAACTGGCTTTATTTTTAGCCATGGACAACAATGTCGCCAATGTCATTGGGCTGGAGCCTGAAACCAAGGAGCTCTTTGGGATCTCTCAGAACAGACTTGCGATCATGCGCAGTGGCAACCTCGGCGTCACGTGGTCCAGCATGGAGCCTGAGCGATACCAGGAGCTGTCAAACAGCAGTCAGCTACTTGAGACAATGAAGGTCCCGTTTACTGAGATCTCGGACGAGCCTGATTATGTCATGGCAACGGATGGGGGCAGCATCTTCTTTGAGTGGGGAGGTAAGACAGAATATGCAAAGGCCTGATGATGAACACTTCACCAATCCAGTGCGACTCCAGTCAGTCAGCCCATTTCGTTTTGATTATGCAGATTTTTTTCATCACTTATCCTTTTCGGTTTAAATCTTTAATGTTTCTTGTGAAAGGGGGTTGGGTAAGTTCTCGTAGACCTGTAGTGGTTAGCGTTGAATTATTCACTAAACGATTGTTTCATTTCAGCCGCGTCCGAGGGACTGTTTCGACGGGAAGTGATGATAACCTATAACGGAACAGCATCAAGTGACTGGGAACTCATGGGTACTTGGGGCTATCCGTGAAGGGAACCAGCGAGTGCGGCAAGTGATAGACCAATAGCAAATATTGCACGATTTTCTGCTGTACGTAGGCAAGTAGGCATCCCGCGGAGATCAGTTTATGCCACGACAAGTAAACACACGCCAAAAGAAAACCGTTATATTCCGTGTTGGTATGTGGTTGACATGTTGTAGTTTAACTCGATTATTTACTCTTGGAGAGACAGAGTTGATCACGTGTTCAGACCTTTTTTGTGGATTGTGAGCTGAAATATAGATCGTTGATAAGCCATATACGAAGCTCATCAACCGTGTTGAGATAAATATATTATAAACAAAAGTTTATGTAAGTACTGTACAAAAGTAAATAGTTTTGTAGCTCATATTCTGATAAAATAGACCAAAACCTTTTTATCATTGTAATTTATATAAATAAAATCATGTATTGTAACGGAAAATGACTGTTGATCCTTAATACTTAGCTTATCCTTGCCTTCAGCTTTAAAGACAATAGTTGTTTTTTTACAAATGACTAGCTAGATTTTGTTTCTCATCGGTGAAACTCTTTTTTCTTAGATTCTTACTACTGATCTCAATGTAAATAAATCTGGATTGGCCACTGGCTGTTACAATCGAAGTCACTGTCCTCCATAACACCACTCGACGAATATAGGAATAGATATTTTTGAATGGCTGAGACCGGTTCCCTCCGCACATTCCGGTGGGGAGATCGGGAACCAGCACGATGCTCCAGTCCTTTGTACGGTTGGACTTCTTCTCCCTGTGCCTGCGAATGTTGGGGCATTTGAAAAGAACAAGCCATCCAGATTCTAGAATACTGATGACAATGTTTATTCACAGTGTATACGTGCCACACTAATGCTTTACATTGTGCCAAAGACTAACATAATGTTCATGATATTCAATTAAATAAACATTAATTTGTTTCAAGCCTGTATGTACGAGCTGTGCCCAGAATTGTGAGTGACACTTTACAAAGCCTTCTAGGACTGTGACGAAAAGGTTACTGCTAATAAACTGTAACAATGAACAGATGTACAATGGGGCCATTGCCTTTGCTCTACCTTGGTTTGTTTCACAGGTAACTTGCACAGGTTTATTAAATGCAGAACTGTGATATGCTACAAAGCCTTTAGGAAGGACCAAGTTCAGAATCAGCCCCCCCCCCGCCATTGTAAACAATACATACCATCCTGTGTAACGCTAGATTCATGTAAACATTGCCGTTCGCTGATACGGATGGGAACCACCCTGTCAAGTTCTGTAATATCTGGATGAATGATTGAAATCACCCCGTAACAAGAAACACTTGTGTCAGAATTTTATATTGTGTTCATCAAATGATATTTTTGAGAAGTCTGCTGGAGATAGGTAAAAACGAATTTCATTATCCCGTTCAACTACCGGCATGATGGTTCTTACGCTTCCTTGTTCATGCACATTTACTTTCGCTACATACCACGTACTGCCTTGAGCAGAAGCACCCCCTCATCGGTCGAGAAGAGCCGTGTTTGTGGGGATTATTCATTTAGCTGGTAGCGATGCGCCTGTTATGCGTGCACTTTCTGGTCATTCGTGAACCAGTTCATTTCCGACCAAAGGAGCCTCCGTTGCTGAGAAAATTGCGACCTCCCTCCCTCTATGTTGGAGCTGATAACGACGAGTTCTAGATAAAGCGGGGCTGTCCTGACGGCGATCTTTTTTTTTTCTGCACATAACAACACGCTTGGAAAACTCGACTTGAATAAAGGCTATAATCGTGGGTTTTTTTCTAATGGACTGAAGTCTTCAATTTCCACAGGGAAAGCTCCCACAAAGACTAAAGACTAGCATCATCTCAAGACTGGCAACAAAACAATATTTGACAGTTGTGGGATAAGGTACACGCGTCCTGGTGCAGTTGTCAGCAATAAATGGTTAGATCAGACTGCAGAATATGTCCAAAATGAAGATTATTCCTTCCAGTTTATTTCCTCTTAAATTATAAACTGCCTAACTTTATTTGGTCTTCGGTTTTTTAGTTTTTTATTTTTAATTTTTTAGGGGGCTAATTTTGTGCCGAAAGACTATACAATAAAATCATTTCTTATTTCTTCTGTGTATGAGTACACCAAGTGACACTGACTCAGTGAGTCATGCAGTTTAGATTTTAGGAAGTGGGGGTTCAGTTTTGAGCACGATTGTTGCTCTTTGGATTTTCAGTTTCTGTAAGTTAATATGATAGTAAATATTTTTCAAAGGACTTTTAAGGGTGACTTTTTAAAAAGTAAGTTGCAGTTGAAAATTCTTAATTTGTAGCATGTTATTTTCCCTTTCCAAAGGTTCCGGAAACACACCCTCAGGTGTCAAATTTGAGGCTCTATTGCAACCCTACATGCAATTTGCATCTTACAACAAGAATGGATCGTTCTGGATGAATTGCTGTTACCGGTCGATATTCAAATCACAAAGGTAAAGGAAGGGACTGGGAACTAGTCTACATTACATTAGGGTTACAGGTTACCTTTGTTATTCTTACTGTAATAATGGCAATTGAAAGTTACGTAAGCCGCCTCTTTTTTTAGAAACGTGTACTCGCGCGAGTCAATATTGACTCGATATAGATAGCCATTCCATTCAATTTCAGGAAACAGTCCAGTGCAACGCAAGCTGAAGTGTGTGAACGTGGCCGCTCACAGGACAATGCAAGAGAGCTTAAAAGAGTCCTTTGTGTATGGCTATACCTACAATAATAGTCCAAAGCTAGTGTCTCGGACACTTGGCTTAGCCATTGGCATTAACCACTCTGGGAAATTTGTCTCATGACGGGAGGTCCAGCAGTGAGGCTGCCATGGAACCCCACACCGACTCAGGCTGGTCTTGGGTTGTCATGTTCGGTGCTTTCCTGGTAAATTTCACAGGGATTGGTGTCGTGATGTCAAGAGGCGTTTATCTGAATGTCTGGATGGAGGATTTAGAGGCCAGTGCAACGAGTACCAGTCTGGTTGTTTCAATCGGAGCGTTAATGATGGCTCTCTTTAGTAAGCATAATCAGATACTACAGACAATCATTACCCTCAGAACTGTAGGGTTCGAAGTCCGCCCCGCTTCGTGGGAGCGGACTTCGAACCCCGCACGTTTCATGGGGTAGGCAATCATTTCTTAGGACCCTTGTGCATTTTTATCAAACTCAATATTTTAACTTCATTAATCTAAAATTACCTTTAATTCTGCAGTCTAGAGAAGTGTTCCTTTTAAACAAATGACCGAGTGGCAGGTCACTTTTGGAAAGGCTTGTTGCCAGAAAGTCATGAAACTCTTACAACTTTCGGCAGTAATATTGGCCCCATAATGTGGCTCATATACTGGGGCTAAATTAAGACCACCTTCCATATGTGCGTTTTTGGTCCGTTCCGCATCCGTTCGACGTGTTTCAATTTCTTGAAAACAAGAGCCTTCAAGCCATCCAAGCTGCATTTAGGGAAGTCTTCCCTGATAGGGATCCACCGGCAAAGCCGACCATCTGGGAAAATGTGCGCGAATACCGAGAACATGGGACAAGCCTTAATTTAAATAAGGGTCATTCAGGAAGGAGACGCACAGTGCGAACTCCTGAAAACGTTGCTGCAGTTCGACAGCAACTTGTTGAACAGCCAAGGGACACCAGTTGCAGGAGGAATGGACCTGGACACACGCAAGGTGTCGGTGCATAATTAACTGCGAATTACGTAATGTATAAAATAATCAGTGTGCCCATGATATCTTATCCAAGCATGACAGAGGACTACCTCATCACTGGTTTATCCAAAGTGTTACAACTGAGTTCGGATGCCCCATTTTCAAGACAATGGTGTTCAGTCATGCATGACAGGAGGGATACCATCAAGGTATCATTAGAAAGAATACTGCTTTTACTTTTCGGAGATCCTTATACATTATAATCATATCTCATGGTTTGGGAATATTAACCCCTTTCCTGACGGTTTGTTTTTTCTGGGACACCCTGTATAGGGACCGGTAGCCAGTTACAGTTTAATGTACACGATTAGCCCTGTCAATTTGGATGCTGAATATTCAAATTTTTGTTAGACCAATAGCACTTTTACTTTTCTACCGCAAAGCGAATAAAACGCAAGTACTTATCCTTGTTCATCGTGTATCATAGTGTAGTAATTTATTTTTTCAATGAATATCATCTTATTTTACAGCGATTTATTTCAAATCAGCGGTTATTCTGTTAAATTTTAAATTTTAAATAAATAAACAATATGGTGACGTTAATTTCGGTAAAGAAGAAAGCAACGCGAAATATTCTACCAGCTCCTGCTTGATTTGTACATTTCGTTTCCTCATTTACCTAAACCGAGCCAGAAGAATTCCTTCGGTTTCATTACCCGCTATACCGGTCCCTATGTTCGGAGGACGTCTGTAATACATCTGGAGACTACGTATGGGACGGGGACCAGTCTATGTGGACAGGAAATGCATTTGAATATGATGCCCCCTGTCTTCCCTCTTGGTTTATATGAATTGTGCAAAATGAACTGAACAGTATTCACGATAAAATCTAAAAAACGGCATATGTGTGAACGCAGTGTTTGATAAATTTACATTCTGAGATCATTTTAATCAAATGAATATACAGTCAGTTTTCCCAGACTTTTCTCTCCCTGCCATTTTATGACTGAGTTGTCAAAAGAATCCCTCTTTGATCTGCAGGTCCAGTTTCAGGAGCCCTGTGTACCAAATTTGGACCACGTATGTTGACAATATTGGGTGGAGTACTAATTATGGGAGGGGCCATCGTATCATCCTTAGCTTCCACCGTGTCATTACTTGTCATCGGCAACGGATTTATAACAGGTAGGATTCACTCTGCAATAGAACGATTGCGCCCGCTTAATCAAGGGACCTACAGTGGGTATCACTCCAATTGTTAAGTGTGATTTGAGTGTTGTTTACAAACAATAAATCTGATTTACGGTATAGTACCCAGCACATCAGTAGTCTGAGTGCGGTACCTACAGTGTGCTGATACGTTAAACATTTAGCTTTGGTGCACACCATACTTGTTGATATATAATACCCACTTTTAGTCACGTGATTTAGCGGGCGCAATCGGTGTATTAGTGCAGTTAGCAGAGTTGGCCGGTCCTGCAAATGCTATTAATGAATTGAAAATTGTTTCATGTCTTTATAGAAGGATTTTGTAATGATCAAAAAAATATCTTGCCATCAAAACAAACTTTTCTCTTTACATTACTTTCATGACGATGACGCTGTGTTAAATCCCAAAATGAAGATCGATGTTACCTATATGTCATCAAAACGGAATGAATTCAGAATAGCCCTATACATCGAGGGCCTCAGGCTCGCATTATTGATGAGGAATGAAAGAGGCAGGTCCTCTATTAACTGTGGGATCTTGGATTTCGACGTGTATGAATGAAAGTAATTTAATTTAAAAAAAATGTCTATCTGTAATTTGTTCCCAGGTCTTGGCGCTAGTATGGCATTTGTTTCGTCATTTCAAGGTTTGGCACTGTACTTCAATCACAAGTTCACCTTCGCTTCTGGCATGGCATCAGTGGGTATAAGCTTTGGCCATTTGGCTTTCCCACCTCTGAACACCTATCTCATTGATGTGTATGGCTGGAGGGGCTCCTTGCTGATCACAGCCGCAGTGAGTATGCACGTCGCCGTTGCCGGGGCAGTCATGCGGCCAGTGGCTCTGATGACGGCAGCCAATAAGAAGAACGCCGACCTAAATGCAAATGTCTCCGAAGCAGAAGTTGGAGTGACCGAAGACAACAGAGAACCCGATAATAATGCTCCCAAACCCCTTACGACCACTCAAGGAAACGGACAAGCTTTGGTGAGAATGGTTATTGAACGAAGTACATCAGACAATTCACAGCAGTTTTTACGGATACCACCCGGTGCAGATTTGCCTTCAGATGAAGATTCTACGAAAGATGACGAAAAGGATTCTGCGAGGGATAATGGAGCGAACGAATTCAGCCAAGGCAGACGTTCTGGTTTCCGTGACACGCCACACTCGATCTTTGAATCCAGCGTACGACGTCTCCTCGTGTTCAAGCACTTTCTGTTTGTGACTTGTGGAATGAAGCATTTTGTGCTTACTCCCAGATTCAAAGTAGTAGTGATTGTTGGTTTCTGCCATGGTTTCGGGAAGCTCAGCCTAGTCTACGTTGTCCCACGTGCCGAAACAGTTGGCATTACCCCGGAGAGAGCATCGCTTCTTCTGTCTCTCATTGGTGCTGGCAGCGTTGTGGGCCGGCTCAGCCACGGGTGGTTCATCGACAGGCAATACGTCACGGCCGAGATGACGTTCGCGTGGACACTGCTGCTGTTTTGTGGGTCGATTTTTCTCGTGCCTGCTTTCGACAGCTTCCCTCCTCTCGGTGTTCTGGCCGTGATGACGGGAATCGGATACAGCGTGTCAGCGTGTCTTCTCGTGGCTATCGTACGTACCTTAATGCCAAGTGCTTCAGACACAGCGGCAGCAGTAGGGTTCCTCATACTGTTCTGGGATGTTGGTGAAATCATTGGTTTATTATTATCCGGTAAGAATCTCTGTGTTTACAGGACAGTTTGAAATTAACCTCACGACAATGAAGGCCAGGAACTTTTTAGTTGACGATAAACTTGTCGATGCTAGACGGCTCCATTCAGCGCCCAACTCCATGGTATTCTGACCGTGACCACCGCAGGCCATGTTCGAGTTAGGCCTACTTGATAACAACCAGCATTAACACTCAACTGCGTCGCGTCGTCCAGTCGCCCTGACCCAACGACACCCCGACCCTACGACGCGGCGACCCCGACTCCCCGTCGCGTTGTGCCGCCCGTCGAGCTTTCGCCTGTTCCTATCTTAATTTTATGCAGAATCCCTGCTGTCGCGTCATCCTATCGTGCCCAGGCGTCGTGCCGTTGTATTGTCGTGTCGTGCCACTGCGTCGTGCCGTCGCGTCTTGCCCCCGCATTATACTCGTTACTGATGGAAAAAGGGGGCGCTCTTTAGTGACACAGCTAAGTTTCAGCACCATACCAAAAGATACTATCACATGATCACATCTTGCAGCCCTTTGCACCATGTGCACACACACCGTTTTTTCCATGACTTGTGGCATACGCCCTCTATTGGCCGTGATAATCACCAGCTCTTTTTAATTTTAAGGCACAACGGCACGATACGACGACGCGGTAGTACGAGACAACGGTGCGACAATACGAAGAAATGGCACGACATCAGGGCACGAGAACATGACGGCAGGACGCGACGGCTCAACCCACACCGTATAACAACCATGCATACAATGACAGACAACGCGACGGCACGATGCGACGCTCTGTATGGTGCCAAGACTCGACGCATTAAACTTGACATAAAAGTAATAAGAAAAGAGGCCACGACACGACGGCATGTGTAAATTTACTTCATTCAAAATCTCTAAAAACATGTTTTTTTTTCCTCACCGTAAGGTGTCATTTATGATGTCCTCCGGAGCTTTGATGTTGCTTTTGTGACGGGAGGGGTCGTTCTGCTACTGGCATCATCTGCTGCTTTTGTCATGTACTTTCGTAAGAGAATGAAATATTGTAAGTGTGAGATGAACCGGGCGGCGTCAATTTAAACCACAGTCATTGTTCGCCTTTTAGCGGTTAAGGTGTAAGGCAACCTCGTTGAAATGCATCTTCTTTTATCAAGTTCTAGGTTTTCCCTCTTACTATGAATACTGATGACGAACAACAGAACTAAATCCCAACAATAAAACAAAAGGAATTAAAAGAAAATATTTAATACATACTCAATGTATGATTTTAATTTATACTTATTCAAGTATAAATATGCAAATGCCACCAGAGGATATCAACGTAAACACTGTATATAATTTATTCACTTGATGATCTATGTCTGTGTTTCATTTCCAGGCAATTAGATCCTTTTTTTCTTGAGATTTATGAAAAAATTGAAAGTTCACTAATTCATATTTGTGTAATTAATAATTAACTTGATATTTCTACACAGAAATATTAATAAGTTATAATCTCTTAGTAAAAAAAACTCAATCAAGCATTCCATCTTTGAGTTCTTGCGACGCCCCGTGAGCCCATCCTAGCGCCTTTAAAAGCGGTGAGGAAAGCGGATAACATTATTTGGCGTCTATGCCACCATGGCGGTTGAATTTCATTGAGGATGCGCTTTCGTGTACGTTCAGTGATTTTACTATGTTGGATAGTTTCGTCGTGTGATGACGGCGCGGCCCGCCCCTGTGTTTTCATGCAGAATTTGGAGGAAACAAAGCTGTAACTTTGTTGAAAGTGCGACCTCACTCTGTGAGTGGCCCTGACTGAAAAATCCCCCATCCAACCGTACAGTGACGATGATGTTATGAATTTGTTACCCAATGTGCATTGCACTACAAATCCCGTTACTACGGATGCTGAATTGGCAACGGCTTTCATATTTTTACAGTAAATTTTACACTAAAATCAGCCAGGAACAGGGTCAAAATCACATTTAAAAAATCAGTTCTGAAGATCCTCATCGTTACTGCATGAGCTGGGAATATTGATCTGGACTTTGGATGAGAATGTACACGCATATTTTGGAGAGTTTTGATGCGATTTCTGAACATCTTTTGGTGAGGTCGTGTGATGTTCACAGAACTTCGAACTGAATGCAGTTGCAACTGAAGTGGAGGTCTGTATTCATCGTAGAACACACACGTGAATGTTCTTATGAGAACCTTCTCTTCTTGTTCCCAAATCGTCCTCACTGAAGGCACTCCAACCCTGTATCAGTCTGAGAATGCCTTGTATATAAGACCCTTGTACCCGAGGGCAGAAATGCATTGATGAGGACCAGGTTAATGGCAATCACCTATGATCCCTTCAAATGAGGGCTGTATAGTAAAATGTACACACCATAAAGAAACTTTGATCAATGTTGTCACACAGTGCACTGCCAGGCACACTTCAAGGTTTTATGCAGTGAAGACAAATTAATTACGATCTATTTGTCTAAGGGTATGGGAAGGTTAAGACAACCTGAGAGAGCCGTGTTATTTTGGACCATATCACAGCCAGGGTAGGTGGTACCGCCCCCCGCCCCGAACTCGGCTATCCCATGTCTGATTTTTGTAAAACATGGTGTGCACATAAAGACAAACAAGGATCTCAACGTACAACCTGTCGACTGCACGGGTGCAATCGAAAAATGACGTCAGTTCCTCGGTAACCCACTCTTTCTAGAACTCACGATCACGTGATGAAGTTTTCTCTTCTAGGTTTTGTAGTGGAGGTGGGGGCTAGAACCAAAATCTATCATTCTCATAGCTCCTGATGCTCCCCCCCCCCCTTTGCACTGCTGCGGATTGGGATGTGCGGCTACGTGTATACTGCGTCTTCATATTCCAGGGATTAACACCAAAAACACAACCTTAAGGGAGAGGGACTTAAGCCCCGCCCCGCCCTCCCCACGTGAAGCCACTGGGTCAAGTTTGCCTCTGTGCGGACACCATGTGACGCAAAATATCTGCCATTCTGCAATCCAGGAAAAATGCCTTAAGATTTTTGTTAAAAAGACAGAGATTTCCATCTCAAAAGTAAGACCAAGTTAAACCATTCAAAAATGTACGAAATTTTTGTCTTGAATTTCATTCTTATCAAACATTTTACTTGAATCTACTTCGAAGCTGAGGTGTTTACAACTTGCCAAAATGCACGTCCGCCTCAGGACATGAACGCACGCGAAGTGCATTGCCTCGATACGAATTGACTTGAGGCTGTACTGGTTCCCAGCCCAAACAGTAACATGACGGCAGTAAGCAGTCGATGATCGACGTACTAGCGTGTCGCGATGTCGGAGATCAATATATGCCCCACAAACCAGGAAATGTGGGGATATCTTATTGTGATGCACACTGAGGAAGCTTTAAAAAGAGACACAAACATTGAAATCACCACCTGAAAAGTAACGTAATGAACAAGTTTTGAAAAATTATGGAAACGGGGGCACCAGATCTACAGATCCCTCCAAGTAGTGGAATCTTTGAGACTTGGAACTCGACTATATAGAGTTACCCAAATTTCCAAAAGTGCGTCAATTGACGTATTTATAGAAATGCCTCTCTTTCACTTGTTTCCTCATGATGAAAGAAAGATGGGCGAAACAACCTCAGAGGATGTTAAACATCATTTACTAATCTTTACTAAGTGAAACTATCAATAGTAATGATTTAATCGGTTACCTCTCAGAGCCCGGCAAATGCCACCTTTCTTTCGAATGGGTAAACAGATCTACATAATATAATCGTTGTTTTTCATTGTTTGGATATGTCATGCATTTAGAGGGCCAAGTCCAACGTACAACTGTCTGATCGAGTCATGTTGACTTACGGAGATAAGCAACTAACGTTTGTGTGGGTGGCTCGAGATGTGTACATGAATGCAGTGACTATTTGGACTTCTGTAATTTTGCAAACCAACAAATAAACTACTTTTTTTTCATTTGTCACGCGTAGCCACATACGTCTTTGTCAAGTCATTCATCTGTGGTTTTCTGCTTCTTCCCAAAAGGTACCATAATGCCAATCTTTGATTGTGTATATGTCTTCTATGTGGCCTCGAAAGTGGTATGATTATACAGTTTAAACCAGATTTGAATCCTGCATAGTTTTTGAGCAGTTTTAATTGGGCAGGTCAACTTGAAAGACTTGACAGCGTTAATTTCAGCATGACAGACGGAACAGTATCTACAGAAGCGACATCAAAACACGAGTTACCGTCTTCGAGAGCTCGCAGTGTGTCAGAGCCGAAGTCTGAGCAGCCACCGGGCCCAGAGCCACCGGATTCCGGCTGGGCATGGATGGTTCTACTCGGTACATTTTTCGTGACTTTCAGCAGTATCGGCTACATTGTTGCAATGAGCGTCTTTTTCCTGTCTTGGAAGAATGAATTCGAGAGTACGTCAGCAGAGACCAGCATTGTGATCTCCATTGGTTCTTTAACGAGGGGCATTGCTAGTAAGTCGTCATTCTGTCTTGGCCTATACAGTTTTATCTTTGCAGGTATTTCAACTATAAATGGCACTTAAATTCGCTGTCTTGTCTATTCAATTTAATTTGTTTTATTTGATGCTGCTGTTTTATAATTTTTAATTATTTCAAAGGCCCTTTTGTGGGAGCGCTCTTCACAAAGTTCAGTGCCCGCACTATCGTGATGGTCGGTAGCCTCATCTCAGCTACGGGAATTCTGCTCACATCATTCGGTACAAGTATACCATTCCTGATTGGGACAACCGGTGTACTTGCAGGTAACTAAAAAAACTCAAAGCCAGACTAACACTTTGAAAATTAAATCAGGGATTTTAGGGTAGCTTACATCTTAATATGGAATGAAGTACAACAGAAATAGTTTTGAATATCAGGAAGAAAGGCTGCGTCCGAATCACTTCGCTTCGGCCGGAAATTACACACAACTCTATGGAAACTGATCGCGGCCACTACCATAGACTCGTGTGTAATTCAAGCCGCAGCCAAGTGATTCGGACACGGCCTCGGTTAACAGAAGATCAGATTTCATTCAAAAGCACCAATTTGTTGTTATTTTTAATACTGATTGGTTACCTTAAATTATGGTTATTTACTCCAGCCATTGTTCTGAATGATGCAGGTTAACATGAGAATTATGTTTCTTCTTTTTTTTACACTTAAGCCTTTTAGCCAGGAAACTGAGAAAAAATTTATGTAACTGTCACAGAGTTTCCACAAATCTTTTGCTTTTTTAAGATGGAAATTATCACTCTGCTTGTTTTAAGGGGGGGTTGAGGATATTGTTTTTTGTGCAGCATCAGGCTCTAAATTCCCCAGTCTAAACAACTAGGTGTGCATAATACGGAAACAAACGTAACGCAATAATCAACGTCTTTTTGGATTTATACCCTCAATTTCCAGCCATCGGCTTCAGCTTCCAACTCAATGCCAATTTCGTCATACTGCGACAGTACTTCAAGAAACGATTCGCCCTTGTCGTGGGGCTGACTCAGAGCGGGGTCAGTGCGAGTCAAGTTGCATTGCCACCACTCTTCAACTGGCTCATCAACGAGTACGGCTGGAGGGGCGCCCTTCTCATCATCACGGGAATCAGTTTGAATACTCTGGCCGCGGGCGCCCTCATGAGGCCGGTCCGTCCCAAGATCACAAAGAAGAAAAAGAAGCAGCCTCAGTTAAGCAGTGTGTCAAACGTCCATGGCAGTCAACTGTCGACGGACAATGGGGACAGACCTGGGACAGACTGTGGCGGTGAAACTGATGATGTCAAGGACGGCGGGCAAACGCTGATGGCTGTAGATGAAGAACTACACACACTGAGCATGACACCCACACACGACACCGCTACGCTTGTTAAAGAAGACGCCGATGGAACCTCCTTGCAACCAGACGAAAACGAAAGAGAAGATGATGAATGGTCCGATTTTGAAGAAGAGTTCCCAGCGATGATAAACAGCCTCGCAGATCCGTTCACTATTACAATCGCCGATGACCACGTCAGTCGAGTTACCGTAACAATCACGCACGCAAAGCCAGACTCGCCTTGGGGATACTTTAAGATGTACCTCAAGCGCACCAGAACATTCTTACTCGATACTTACGGCCTGAGACGCCTTGCTCACAACCTCTGTTACATACTTTTGTGCGGAGCAACATTTAGCATGGCGTATGCCTGGACTGCTATGAATGTCCACTTCGTTCCGAGGGCAGAAAGAGTGGGCATTGAAAGCGAGGCTTCCTCCCTTTTTCTGTCCATCATAGGCGGGTCTGGATTTCTTTGCCGACCACTCATTGGCGTGCTGGTTGACAAGCGTTACATCAGCGCCCCTCTAGCCTATGCCGGAGGTATGCTCGTAATGACGTTAGCAATAAGCCTCATTCCACTGTTTACCACATTCGGCCCACTGGCAGCCGTATCCGTTATGCTGGGCCTGGGGTCTGGAGTAAGTGGTAGTCTTGTCTTGATGACGCTTCAGAAGTTGATTCGCCCAGCCGAGGCAGCTGCAGCCACCGGGATCTTATTGTTTGGCTGGGGAATCGGCGAACTCGCCGGTGCATTCTTTTCAGGTAATCAGTGGGTGAATGTGGGATCGGTGTGGGTGAGAGATGGTTTGAAAGCTCTTCCATTTCTTTGAAAATATTGTCCGTCATTTTGTATCGCGAACAAAGTCTGTAACTTATGTCTGCGTAAAAGTGCGCATTTATTTCACTGGTGTTACAGGGATAGGTAGTCTCATTAGAGTCATTCTATAAATCGGGGATCCAAACGTGACTTTTTTGTGTCCCTGTTGCAACTGACCTTTATTATTTGACATGGAAATATAATACCACTGAAATTGATTTCCAACTATTTCTATTTGTTTGGCAGGTAATTTACATGAATTCTTCAATCTTTGAATTAGAATATACGTTCTTAACTTACAACACATGACAGGTGTGACAGAGACACGAAAAAAAATGGACCCAATGTATAGAATGACCCATTTTTTTTATTACTTGAATGTCACTGCTACTTGAGGTTTTGTAAGACTGTGTGGCAAAGGCTACGGCATGTCCTTCGACGCAGAAAAAGAACAATTCTGTCCATCTGATTCATGGGATCCTGGGTATTTTGTAATCATTTATAACTACCCTACAGTTGAAGCGCATCACGCTGTAGCGGATCCTGACAGACAGTAGTTAAATCAAATTTAGTTGCCTGCAGGATTCATGATAGTTTGTTTTGTCCACAGGACTTCTCTTCGATGTGACTGAAATCTACGACTACTCCTTTTACTGTTCAGGTGCCGCTTCCTTCATCGCTTCCATCTTTTGCGTAGCCATCTACTTTCGCCTTAGAGCAAGGAGAAGACGGCATCGTGCTAAGCAGTCACCGGCTGTCGCTTTGGAAAACCCAGGCTTGGTAGTTAATACAGAGCAATCCATACCAAACGTCGAATTGGCTCAGGAAAGAGCCTATGTTCCGGCAGTGCGCGACCACGAGGCTGTCAATCCTCTGTATTCAGTAGAGCAAGATGATATAAACGATCAAACGACAGCAGTATCAACTGAAGAAGAGCCCAGCTCGGGTCCAAGAAAATCCGACCTTCCGATGAAGAAGAGATGGCTTTCAAGACTGGATCACAAGCAAGACCATCGGGTCGAAATGAGTCACATTTCAAAATCTGACTCTGGGGCCGAGGTTCACGATGGAACTCGAGGAGCTGAAAAGGCCACAACGGGATTAGAGTTAGAAATAAACGATGATGAACCGGCATTTGGACGTCTGGAACATATGAACTTTGAAAACCCCGCCTTTGAAGACGAGGAAGAATTGCCCAAAGACATGGCTGAAAGTAAAGAAGTTGCTTTTGAGAACCCCATCTTCAGAGAAGATAATCAATCAAGTAGTGGAAAAGAACGTGCTACAAAAATCGACGATGGTCGCCATTTCAAAAGGAGTGAGGACTTTGGAAATGAAGAGGTGGTTGATGAGCTTGACTGTTTCGATACTGAGCGCGGCAATGGTTCAAATTCAGGCGTTGAAAACCCCGCCTTTGAAGACGGAGAAGAATTGCCCGTAGACGTTGTGACTAAGGGTGTGGTCTCTAATTCAGACATGGCTGAAAGTAAAGAAGTTTCATTTGAGAACCCAATCTTCACAGAAAACAGTGAATCAAGCGATGGAAATGAAAGTGTTGCTGAAATCGACGATGATCCCCATTTCAATATGTCCGATTACCATGGAAATGCAGAGGCTATTAATGAGCGCGGTTGTTTTGATAATGAGCACGGCAATGGTTCGAATTCAGATGTTGACAGCACCGGCGCGCTGTCGGTTTCAAACGAAAATGACGTTGAATTTTCCGAGAGTCTCGTGCCTAGCGAGAGTTCTGAATCACTGGGTGAGAATGGTGATTGCCAGGTCTATCAAGTCTAAGTTTATCGTGGTAAACAGCCCTATGATTCCAGGGCAGTGAATAGGCCCCAAATTGCCGTTTGCAGGCCAAATCACGATTTCCATGCTGTCAAATTTTTTGCTGTTAGACCCATTTGTAGTGCTTCTTTGCTTGTATTAGCAAGACTGCGAGTTTGCATTTCTGAAAATATTGCTCAAAACAGAGCTCCCTGAACTGCTCTATTTTGCAATGGCATGTAGACATCAATTTTCAAAATGGCGATGAGCTTCACAACTACAATTACTGATGAACGTCTTTGGAGAGAAATTTCTTCAAGGACATTGGTTGAAATTGAAAAGAATTATTGTAACAGATGAGTAAATGAGCTTTCATTTGATGTAAACACCTGAGAAACCTCTGAGGATTGCCCCAGATTTTTTGAAGTAAGAATGTTTGTGATTGTTGTCTATGGTAGCCTATTCACTAGTTTGTAGACTATAATGGCGATATAACACCGTATTTTCTGCAGTGCATGGTGAGGTAGAATGGAGGTCATTAGTGTATGCCTCACCATACACTGCTATCAAAAGCATATAAAGCCGAAAATCTTCGTTTCGATAAATCACCAGCAGGCCTACAAAAGGGCTGTTCGGAAATTTTAAGCTTATACGCAGGTATATGAAATCCGTCTGATATTCAAAGGCTCTTTCAGACTAATTGGTTGAACAGTTAGCCTTGTTAGCTTTAGTTGTAAAGCCTAGTTTTCATGTCGACGTAACAATCAATACAACAATACACAGTCATGTAAGATGCCGATGAAGGTTTCAAATTTAAGGCTTAAAGCAATCCACGTAATGATAATTTTGGTTGTGGAGATCAAATTTGCATTCAATCCCTTTTTTAAATTGTTACTGTTTATATTCATTGCATATTCATTGCTGTTGTTTCCATACTTAAAAATGATTCAGTAGACTCCTTTTGCATTCTTGTTGTTCAACTGCTTTGGACAGGAGAATAGAACGGCTTAACCTTACTATATGAGTCACATTCTTATTAAAGTGTAACAGAAATTGAAAGCATTTAGTTCACGTGAAGTATTTCAAAATAACAATAAATACGTAACCATTTCAAAAAAAACATAAATTTAATGTTTACCCCATTAATTGTGACCCCAAATGAATAAAAAGGTCCTGCGTTTCCCCGCCCACAAAAGCCCCTTTTGACCGTTCGCGCTCCCAGGCTGATAATGACGTCATCGCCAGAGCGCTGACATATACAGTATACAGGTACATCGCACACAGTACATGCAGTATCGCACGCTTGCAATAGGCCACGTTTTGTTTGATGTAGCTCAGCCCTAAGGCAAACGCTATCTCAATTCATGAAATACACGGTAGGAATGTGTCTTTTAATTTCTATTAGTTCACTTCACGTGAACTATACGTTATCAAGTTCTGTTACCCTTTGAGTGACTTGTTCTGATCTCTGTGGATGCATGTAGACCTATTTTCTTAAAAATTCTCATTGTAAATTTATGCTGTGGTGGAATTACCAAATTACCCTGGACTCTAAGCGTTCCCCCGGTGGTCACTCAGTCAGTGTGGTACTCCCTCAGGAAAGCCTACGACCGGAAGGGCAGGCCCGTTGGGCGGAGATATACCGCCTAATGCACAGGGATAACTGGACAGTGCCTCAACAACCTCCGGGGGACAGACAGGGCAACTACGGACAAGACAAGAACAGACGGGACAAATAACTATATTTTAGCTTCTTTTATTCACACCTCAATTACACACGACAATGTGTGCCTCTAGGTGGTCACTATAATGTGGCACCCTGAAAGGAATGTTGGACTTTGCGAAGCCTCCACTAAGCGCTAGCTTAAATAGCCTCCCGCTACCTGCTCGCCTCCTAGTTTGAACCGTCCCGTAAGGTGGCCTCCAGGCTACAAGTGTTCTTCACGAGGGTACTCCATACCCCTATGAACCGGAACTAATCCCTAGTTCCCTCCCCAGTATCCCACAGTGGTCCCACTCAGGTACATGTGTTTGCACAAAGGCGCAGCGCTTCATGTAGCCTCCTATTACCTGAGCTCAGCTTCAGCACGTCTGAGATCCAAAACTCCAACTAACTATTGTTGTTGTTTTGCCTTAATGGCGCTTTCAGCTACTCAGGCTATCTGCGCCAATAACTAAACGTTTACTCATAACCTTTATTTATCAGCATCTCATTAAGGCGTGCCCAGGCCAGAAAGTGTGGGCATTGAAATCACACGCTCTTCTATGGAAACTGCCTTTGGCCACTACCATAGTGTGCGTGAACACGTTGCACATGGCCTACATGTACCTACAAGAGGTATGTATTGGTATGGAACTGAGCTTTGTCTCTAAAGGCGCCCCCTATTTCCACCAGTAATGAGACGACGGCGAGCGCACAATGCGACGGCACGACGCGACGGCACGAGACAGCTGAAGTGTACGACCGTACTACGACGCGACGGGTCGACTGCACGACGCAACGGCAAGACGGCACACCGCCATAGCAGGGATTCTGTATAAATGTACAATAGGAACAGGCGACAGCACGACCCGATGGAACGACGCCATGGAGAGTCAGGGCTGTCTTGTCGTGGCGTCGGGTGTGAGATGTACGTAACAGATCATTCATTTGTTTACAAATACTGTCCGCCATTTTGTGTGGCGACCAAAAGTTTTCAGGATGGCAACAACTTGCCTCCATTGGCGTTAATTAATAGTGTAAATTACTTAACGGTTTTGCTGGGTAGCTTTTTAACACTTTGTGGCAAAAATAACATCTCTGACGCATCAAAAAACACCTCTGGAAATCTGATTCCTACTGGTGTCACGAGACATTTTTTGAATTATTTCTGACCATTTCGTTGCCGCAGCACATCACGCAGGCGCAATCCTGACTGGTGTGGTAGCAGCAATTCAGTCAGATTTGCCGTAGATGATAGTTATCTGCGGGACTCATTATATCTTTTTGTTTTGTCCACAGGACTTCTCTTCGATGTGACCGAAATCTACGACTACTCCTTTTACTGTTCAGGTGCCGCTTCCTTCACCAGTTCCATCCTTTGTGTGGCCATCTACTTTCGTCTTAGAGCAAGGAGAAGACGGCATCGTGCTAAGCAGTCACCGGCTGTCGCTTTGGAAAACCCAGGCTCGGTAGTTAATACAGAGCAATCCATACCAAACGTCGAATTGGCTCAGGAAAGAGCCGTTGTTTCGGCGGTGCCCGACCACGAGGCTGTCAATCCTCTGTATTCAGTAGAGCAAGATGATATAAAAGATCAAACGACAGCAGTATCAACTGAAGAAGAGCCCAGCTCGGGTCCAAGAAAATCCGAACTTCTGATGAAGAAGAGAGTCTTTCCAAGACTGGGTTGCAAGCAAGACTATGGGGTCAAAATGTGTCACATTTCAAAATCTGACTCTGTGGTCGAGGTTGACGATGCGAATCAAGGAGCTAAAAAGGTCGTAACAGAATTAGAGATTGAAATACACGATGATGAACCGGCGTTTGGACGTCAGGAAAATATGAACTTTGACAACCCCGCCTTTGAAGACGAAGAAGAATTTCCCAAAGACAACTGATAGCGTGGTCTCTTTTATAAAAAAAAAGAAAAAAAGAAAAAATATAAAACCTGCATTACGGGAGTTTAGAGTTGAATCATGACTGAAACATCATAAAAAAAAGCCGGACCCAATAATTTGGAATTGAATGATAACATAAAAATATATTCTTGCCTTGACTGACTACACAAGTACGCCTCACTTGGGATTTTGTGTCATTGTACACACTAATGCCTATCACGATTTTATTCGAATATTTGCATGAAAAGCAAGGAATATACTTACGTTCAGTCATTTACAGAAATAGAAAATAGAAACATTGAAATTAAGGTTCAATGTTCAGCCACCGAATGACACCAAACAGCACTAAAGGCGTTGTCTGCACGTTTTCACGAAGTGTCCCATCTTGATGCGTCAGTCCATGAAATTTGAAGAGGTACGAGTCAACATTTCGAATTACCCAAATTAATTTAATTAGTTTTTCAAAGCACCTTTAAGTTTGAAATTTTCAGAAAATAAAGATTTCATCATGCATATCAAGAATATGCTAAAAATTCAAATTTGTCCAAATTGAGGTATAGGCTCGACGAATGATCACTTCCGTGAGGCATTTTCAGCAGATTATTCTCTGTACATTTTTCAAAATTTTTATACAAGTCGTGTTTGAGTATAAATGATCACACAATCGAAAGCAAACCCGCTTCCTCAATACGTCAGACTTAATTATCAGCTTTCCAAACCATTCCTACTCCATGCCTACGGTCTACGACGCCTCTCTCGAAACCTTTTGTGTCGTGATATTGTGTTTCGTAGCATTTGCGCAAGGATATGGATTGGTCACAGTCAGTGTCCATCTCATCCCAAGGGCAGATATTTGAGTAGCACCCATTAGAGGCAACTCCAATAAACAAAACTTCACCTCGGCAGGATAATCCTCACTGAGGTTGACCTTGCTCTGGTCAAACAAATCATGCAGGTGGCTCAGGAGGTCCCCTTTAAAATTGGGTTCAAATTCAAACTTATTTTACAGATTTTTTCGGCGGATTCCAAATTTTTGAGTGCAATCGATTTAGACCTCGTTTGCTTTCAATAAATCTACTTGTTTATAATCAGAAGAAACCTAATTTCAATAAAAATTGATCAAAGATAGCAACACTTTCTTATTTTCAAGTAAAGAAATAATAACTTTTGGGCTATACATGTACTAAGTAAAGCCAGGATTTTCTGGCGCAGGGCACAATTCTACTGAAACAAAATGCTTTATGAAATTTGGATTTATTATTAAGAATTGCATTATTTTTAGTTTTACTCAGTTTCCTGATAATCCATCAACAGCGCGCGAAATCATCACAGCCTGTTGCGTGTGTTGTTGTTAGGGGAAAATTGTGCGCAAGCGCATTTTTGACAATGAACGCTATTAACATATCCGTGGTTGATTATTCAGCGCCTTCATAATTAACTAGCTAGACTGGTATTCATGCCAATCCTTGTTTCGCCACAGCATCAATAGCGCCTGCATATGAAATTTAACCAATTGGACTTTAGTTTCTCTCAGTTTGGCAAAGGAACGGTGTTTCGCAGTTTATGTCCACCATTGAATGAAGATAGCGTAACCGTACTTAGCGGCAACTAAACTTTATTAAATGGCTCAGAGGGGAAAAAAATATTATGTTGGGGGCGGAGCCGATTGACAATCTACCAATAAGAGGACAGGGATTATTGATGAATAATTTTAAAATTTTAAGAGCACCGAGCCAAATGCAAATTAGAACGCAGGTCGGTCTTACACGTTTCGATATGTACTTTTCGGGTGGGGGTATTGGCAAGCAATCATGAGCAGCAAAATGATCAACCATTTTTATGTTTCCTTCTTGAAGGGGACTTCAAAGCCCCTTGCCCCGCCCCACTGACGCATTTGACCAGTGGGGTGGAAGTGCCAAAATACATGTGCTAGGTACCACAAAATGCACTGCCTGCTTTCATGTTCTAGTTTAATTCTCATTTACAATTCTGTTGTATGTCATTTCGTTTGATTTATTTTTGTTCATCAGTTTGTTTCTGTCCTTGATTACAAACTTTTGATTACATTTCAATTTCAATGTCAATGATCTTGTTGGTATATTTTTTTCCAATTAATGATGTTTTTGTACTTTAATTGGTGATTCTTGGTCTTCTTATGATTATTTAGTAACTTCTTGTTTGTATTCATTCTTCATTTGTGTTTTTCACGCGATCTGTTTTCAACCTTATTTACGTGTCTTCTTCCTTGTTTATAAATCTTAGATAATTGTTATATTAACGGCTCCTCTTTACTGTGGTCAGTCGTAGGATAACAAGGCTCATCTTACTGTTCTATCCCCCTTCCCTCCCCTTTCCCTTCCAGGAGCTTGGCCACGGCAGTGGGCAAATTTGCCCACGTC